TACTACATTATTTAAAAAAATTAAATTAATTAATAAAAGTGAAAGTAAGAATTTTTGGTTTCAGTATACAAAAAAAAATTGGAAAAAATTTAAGCATATTTTTTGTAAAAATTCACACAGCGAACAACTGGCTTATGGTTTGACTGTAAGCCAGATCTAAACATACATTAGACGATGAACGACCAAAGAAGGCCTATTCTTTTTTAAAAGAAGTTAAAAGTGAATTATTCAAATAGCGGGGGTAATTGCTATAGGCGATATGCTAGTTGGATTAAATGGTAAAGCGACAAAAATGATATTTTTGGTTGATTTTGGAATGTGTCGAACATATATTCGAAAAAATATGAACGGATCAATAGCAATTCGGCCAGAACGAGAAAAAGCATTTGTTCGTGGCATTTTAAGGTATTGAAGAAGATAAGCAGGTTAAGAGATAACTTATGCGTTATCATTCTCTTCAGCTCCTCTCATTGTAAAATTATTTCTTTTTACCGTTTCAAATAGAATTATTTTAAGTGAAATTTTCAAAAAATTAGTAATTTTTAAATTTTATTTAAAACATCATACTAATAAAATGATTGTGGATGAATAAGATGTTAATTTACTTATTAGGTGAAATTTATAAATTTTGATAATAGTTTAAAATAGCCGAAATTATTTCAATCAAATAGATATTGCTCATTACGTGTTCACAAACGGCAAGACGTCTGTCGAGCAGATGATCTTTGGTCACTTGTTTATATTCTTATCGACTTAACTGTTGGGCTTCCGTGGCGTGATATTAAAGTAAATCATTTGTAAAGATAATTTCAAAAGAGCAATGATTTTTTAATTTTTTTTCACATCCAAACAAATTAAAAAAATTTGATTAATCGATTTAGATCATTTATTTCTTATGTATATCAGAAAATAAATCGATCGATCAATCAATCGAATCAATTGATTCTTTTCCATTCAATCAGATATTATGACAAATTATTGTTTATAGGTAGAAAAGCCAGTAGCAGAGCAGAAGGAAACAATTAGCGATGCAAAATTATTTAATGGTTGTCCGGAAGAATGGATTAAAATAATGGAACATATTCGATCGTTACGTTACAATTCACGTCCGAATTATAAGTTAATATATGATTACTTACAAGAAACATTGGTCCGATTTCAGATTTCCTATTCAGATCCATGGGATTGGGATCTTGTGGTATGTTTTTCTATCAAATTTATCATTTTCTTTAAAATTATCAAATTTATTTTATTTGTCATGGATTTCCCATTCTATTCATAATCAATCTATCATCCTGATCTATTAGGATGCGGAGATAAGGAAGTTCACATAATAATATATTCAATGATAACTGAAAATTTCATTTTTTAATTTTAAAAATATCATAAAGTTTTAATTTTTCTCAATTTGAATCTTTTTTCTCAAAATTTGCATTATTTCATGGTGATAATGTAATTATTGAAATGGATTCACATGAGAAAACTTCATCATCGCATTCCAAATCGGAAGGATCCGGGTCCGAACAAGCCACAATGCAAAATGATCATAATAAATGGTGCTTGAAGACGAAGCGAAATGAGAATTTCATGGTAGATGAAATTTAAATATTTTATTTTGTTCTTCATAAATTTCATCATATATTTCAATTTTTTAAGGTTCTACCGGAAGTACAACATACAACTGAAACTCGATCAGAGCTAAAGAATCCATTTCAACAAATTATTAACGCATTACAGAGTTCTTTTTCCTTGAATTCAGCGCTATCAACTAAACAGCAATCTGCGACTCAGCCGGTGAATCTTTTCCTAATTGATGTCAGTATTTAATATTTGACAATACGACAAATTTGTTCTTGCAAATTTAATTACTAAAATCGAAACATATATGAACCATAATGTTTATATGATTAAACATCGAAAGAATGAATAAAAACAATCATTACCATCTTTGAAATTTTATCGGAAGTTATCTTTTTTAGCTTAGCAAGCAAAGACGTTTGTTAGCCATGGAATATGATCCATCATTTCCGACAACAAATCCAGCAAATTTTGAAAAAAACGATATCGGAATTTGATCATTGTAATCAAATTTGAAATTTCAAATTTTATTATTAAAAAAATTGTATGAAATGCTATAAAAACAATAATATCTATATTCATTCATAAAAGTCATAATTTGTTTATATTCATTCATAAAAAGGAAAAAGTAAAAAATAATTTTTATTTATAAAGGTTATTCCTAATTAAAGGTGTAACACTTTTAAATTTAGTCAATAATTTTCAAAATATGAATCGTATAAAATTAGAGCATTTGTTAACAAAGGAATGATATAAACCCACAAAAGGTCAAATTTTTGCAAGTTTTTTAAAGAAAGCTGACTGAATTTCAGGTAAATTAATGGAAAACAGAACTTGAATTTCTAAATATATACATGTGTACACTCTTTTCCTCAAAATGGGAATATATTTGAATAAATTATTCGGCTTTATCTTAAGAACATCATGTTTCTACCGAATACCAAGATTGTATTCCACTTTGATCTCTGATGTCAAAAATGGACATATAAGCCCACGTATTCACTGTTATAATATTATTATTACTATCTTTGGTAGTACTGTCCGCAATCAGCTAGCGTAGTTTCTCACTAAATCAAATTCAACAGTGTCTGGAACAAACATTCTGGATCGAGATCCGAATAACGAATCCAAGCCCAATTCATTTGGTCGGGATCAAATAGAACGATCAACTGCCATCTCAAGAAATACAACCAACCCAATAACGTTATCCAAAGGAAACCGCTCCTAAAGAAAAATCACCAATAAATTCGATCATGCCATATAACAACAAAACTCTCCCAATCAAATCAAATCAAGAAACCCATTCACAACAATCGTCATGTGAAATGTGAATCTCTTTTTCGTCCCTTT